GTGGGGCAGGGAGCGGGGCGGGGGGCTCAGCAGGGGGCGCTCTCCCCAGCAGGTAGGGCTGGCCCCACGGCAGCACTAGGGGGCACTGTGCTGCAGGGACGGGGCGGGGCTCAGCAGGGGGCGCTCGCCCCAGGAGGCAGGGCTGGCCCCATGGCAGCGCTAGGGGGCACTGTGCTGCAGGGACGGGGTGGGGGCAGCAGGCAGGGCTGGCTCTAGGGTGGTGCTAGGGCGCTGTGGGGCAGGGAGCGGGGCGGGGGGCTCAGCAGGGGGCGCTCTCCCCAGCAGGTAGGGCTGGCCCCACGGCAGCACTAGGGGGCGCTGTGCTGCAGGGACGGGGCGGGGCTCAGCAGGGGGCGCTCTCCCCAGCAGGCAGGGCTGGCCCCACGGCAGCGCTAGGGGGCGCTGTGCTGCAGGGACGGGGCGGGGCTCAGCAGGGGGCGCTCTCCCCAGCAGGCAGGGCTGGCCCCACGGCAGCGCTAGGGGGCGCTGTGCTGCAGGGACAGGGTGGGGGCAGCAGGGGGCGCTCTCCCCTGGCAGGCGGGGCTGGCCCCACGGCAGCGCTAGGGGGCGCTGTGCTGCAGGGATGGGGCGGGGCTCAGCAGGGGGCGCTCTCCCCAGCAGGCCGTGCAGGCCCCAGTGTCCCAGCTTGGTGCTTGTGGGCGGGGGGCTCTCCCCTCTGTTGGCGTGACTGCAGTGCCCCAGCAGTCGTGCGTGGTCTGACACGGAGGTCCTGGTCCCTCTTGGCCGTGCGAGCGCCAGGTCCCTTTTTGCAGGGCAGGAGGTTTACGCCCACATCCCTTGCGCTGTCCTCGGCGCCCCTTGCAGGCTCAGTGAGCGCCACGTGCTGTGTGTGGCATGACACCACTGCTGTACTCACCCCACAGGGGGCTGTGTTTCCAGGGGGTGCCACTAGGGCTCCGGAGCTCTCGCTGCCCCCAGGCCGTGTGGGGAGGGCGCAGGAAGGCAGAGCTGGGCCCTGGCCTGCCCTGGCGCTGGAGGGTGCTGGCCGTGGGGCAGGGCTGGCCGGCTGTATCCAAGTGCCCTGGAGGAAGCTAGGAGCAGCAGCCCAGCCGTGCTCAGCACTTTCCTCGCTATTGTTTCGTTCGGCACATTTCCTCCCAGTGCCCCACGGGAGCAGCTAGTGGCAGAGGATTTCCGGGCCCAGCCCCACACCCCCTGCGCTGCCCCTTCCTTCAGGCTCCACGCCCCACAGCTCTGGCCTGCTGTTCCAGAGACAGCTAGCGAAGCGGGGTCCCTGCCAGGCAGTCCGGCTGGGCTGTGCCCCCTCTCCTGGGCACTGCCCTTGGAGCGCTGCTGCCAGGGCACCTGGAGAGGTGGTGCCCGGGCGGGTTGAGCTGGGGGCAGTTGGCTCTGTGGCCTGGTGGGACCCTGGCCCTGAGCACCAGCCTGGTTCCCCCCTGCCGGGGGCGCCGAGGCCAGCAGCCCTTCTCCTCCAGCCCCTGTCCTCTGTCCGCATGGTTTGCAAGCCCTGTGCTAACCCTGCCTGCGCCGTGAGCCCTGGTCCCGTCCTGAGCGCCTCGGCCGCGGCACCCCCCCTCTGCAGCCTCGGGGCCGGGGCAGCCAGGGATCCCTGGGTGCGATTCTTCTCTGACCCCGGAGAGCGGGGCCCCGGCTTCCCCGCTGGCAATGGGCTCCCAAGGCCCAGCAGTCGAAGGGGGGTAGTGCGGGGAGAGGGGCTGAGCCTGCTCCCGCTGCGGTCCCTCGGGGTGACTGCTGGGAAATGGGGCAATGGAACGGGCGCCTGGGAGAGGGGCCAGTCAGGGCTAGCTAGGCCTGGCCGGGGGCCACTCAGCTCCCTGCCCCACCCTGGGGGAGGGGGCCTGGCACTACTGATTGGGGGCACCAGGTGTTGGGTTCCTCTTGCTCTGACCTCTCCTCGGAGCCCTGGCGCTGCCCTGCGTGGGGGGAGGGGTGCTCAGGGCACTGGGGGGGCCCTGGCGCCCCGGCTCGGCCACTCACCCCCCTGCTCCTTCTGTCTCTGCAGCCCCGCGAGAAGGGGCGAATGCGCTTCCATAAACTGCAGAATGTGCAGATTGCCCTGGATTACCTGAAACACCGGCAGGTGAGCTGCGTCGGGGGGGGCAGGTGAGCTGTGGGGGTGGGCAGGGGAGCGGATGTGTGTGTGGGAAGGCAGGTGAGCTGCATGTGTGTGTGGGGGGCGGGTGAGCTGCGTGTGTGTGTGGGGGGCGGGTGAGCTGCGTGTGTATGTGGGGGGCGGGTGAGCTGCGTGTGTATGTGGGGGGCAGGCCAGGCCGGAGAGCAGGGGAGGGACTGAGCTGGGGAAGGGGTTTCCCTAGGGGCGGGGGAAGGACAGGCTCTGCCCCTGCTGGGTTGGGGGGGTCTCCCTAGGGCGTGGGGAAGGGGCAGGCCCCAGGCCTGCTGCCTGAGGAGCCCGTCGGACCCCCTGGTGTAACTGCGGCTCTCGCTGTCGGCAGGTGAAGCTGGTGAACATCCGCAACGATGACATTGCCGACGGCAACCCCAAGCTCACGCTGGGCCTCATCTGGACCATCATCCTCCACTTCCAGGTGAGCCTGGCTCCACCTGCCCCATGCGCCTGCCCCGCCCCCCCCCACCAGCTCCGGCCCAGCGCCCCCTGCTGGGAGCTCCCCCCCCGCCAGCGCCCTGCCCCCCCACAGCTCCCCACAGCACCCCCTGCTGGGAAAGGCCAGGGCTGGTCGCTCTCTCTCGTTCACTGGCTGCCCTGGGGCCCAGCTCCCTTTTCCAGAGCTGGCAAGCAGGGGGCTGCTCCAGGAGGCCCTGCGGGAGTGCTGTGGGCAGGGCTGAGGGGGGAGCTGCTCTGGAGTGGGGCGAGACCCCGGGGCTCCCTGCTTCTCCCTCCCCTGGCCCGGCACGCTCTTGGAGCCAGGCGCCCTGTAGCTGGGGTGTGGCCCTGCGGGGAATGCTGGGCTCTGCCAGCCCTGGCACGGCGGGGGCGGGAGCTGCCGGGGCGGGAACGCTGCAGCCGCAGGGGCAGCGTTTTGGAGGCTGAGTCACCTGCTCCCTGGGCCAGGCTGCTGAAGCGCGGCTTAGCCCCAAGGCGGAGCCTGGCAGCCACGGTGACTCAGACTCACGGGCCCTGGCTGGCAGCCGCGAGCTAGCCACAGTCGTTTCCTGTCCCCGCCGGTGCTGGAGCTGCCCGGTTCTCACCGACCACCTGGGAACAGCAGGAACCAGTGGAGCTGCCCCCAGCCACCGGGCACAGGGTTCCTGGCATGGCCGCCCTGCTCCATTGCACGCGGGTCCCCTCCTGCTGGGGAGCCCTGTCCTGCCTGGCCTGGAGCTGGGCCTCGCTCACTCGCTGCTCTTCCTGGCCAGGCTCTGCAGCTCCTCTGCTCATAGTCCCAGTAGAGCGCAGCCCCCAGGGCTGGGAACGGGGTGGGGCAGGGCCCGCCTGCCCCACAGGCTGCACTGGGGAGGGGGGCGGCTCAGCATGCAGAGCCCAACCAAAGGGCTCTGAACCCAGGAGTCCTGGCGTTCCAGGAGGCTGCCCGTGGGCTCCTTTCCCTGCCCGGAGCAGGAGAACGGGACCAGGCTGGGGCCCGGGCAGTGCCCGGGGCAGAATCCGTGCTGCAGCAGTGAGGGAGCAGCTGGGGCGAGCTGGCCAGGGAGTGCCCAGGGCATCAGGACCTGCCGTGTGCTCTGGGGAGAGCACCGGGCGTGGAGAGATGCCAGGCAGCTGGCGGAGCAGGTGCTTCCATCTTGCCCACTGTCGCGGCCCAGCCTGCAGCCTCTGTCGGGGGGGGCGTGTGCAGCAGACGTGTCCCTGGCTGGGGGCCAGCGAGCCCCCCTGCAGCGGGGGTGCGTGCGGAGCCGTGCTCTCTCGGGCTGCGGTTCAGGCGCCATTTCCGCCGGGGTTGGGAGTTTGTGCCCAGCGTGGGCGCTTGTGGTGAGCGCCAGCGACTGGAGCCTCTAACCCCCCCCATGGGCTGCGGTCCCAAGTGAAACAGGAAGGAGGCTGCTGCGTCCTGGGGTGGGGGCGTCACGGAGTCCCAGGCTGCTCGGGAACCCCCCTGAGCGAAGCCAGGCAGGACTCTGGTGCAGTGACTCCCGCAGGGCTCCCTTACGCCAGGGCAAGGAGCCTGCTCGGCTTCGGTGCTTCCTGGGTCTGACCTCAGAGCGTTCAGCCCCCTGTGAGCTCCCTGCGGCGAGTCCCCCTGGGTGGGACCCCCGGGGAAGCCTTGTGCACCCCCAAAGGGCCCTGCCCCCCACTCCACAGACAGCCGTGACTCTCAGAAGGGTTATTAGTCGACAGGAACACAGCGTAGGACAGAGCTTGTTAGCACAGAAATCGGAGACCGACTCCTCCCAGCTGCCTGGCCTCCCTCAGCCCCACTGCCCCTCCTCCCTCCTTTGTCTCTTTCCCAGGCCAGCTGGTCACCTGCTCTGCACCAACACCTCTGGCTGGTCCTTGCAGTGGACTGGGACCAGCCGTCAGTTGCCAGGATACAGGGTGTCGGCTGTTCTCTGCAGCCAGTCCCAGTCACGCCTGCCCTCTCCGGGTCTCTGCAATGGTCACACCCTTTTCCCACCACCCAGAGACTTGAGTAACACAGAAGGGAAACTGAGGCAGACACAGTATTCAGAGAAAACATTAAGAACATTCCCACTTCGTCCCAGGATGTCCTTGGGCCGGGGGGAGGAGGAGGCCCCAGTGGGGCACTGGGCAGGGGCTCCGCAGGGCCAGGGTGGCTGGCTGACGTGCGCCCGTCCCTTCCAGATCTCGGACATCCAGGTGACCGGGCAGTCCGAGGACATGACGGCCAAGGAGAAGCTGCTGCTGTGGTCACAGCGCATGGTGGAGGGCTACCAGGGCCTGCGCTGTGACAACTTCACCACCAGCTGGCGGGACGGGCGTCTCTTTAACGCCATCATCCACCATCACAAGTGAGAGACGGGCAGGGGCTGGGCACGGCCTGCACTGGGGGTTGGGGCTGGAGGGGGGAGCAGGGACTCTCACTCGCTGGCTGGTAAGTGTGTGCCCAGGGGCTGCCCCACACGCAGCTCTGCCAGTCCAGGGGTGCTGGGCTCCCTCGCTCTGGGGCTGGGGGGCAGCGGCTGCTCTGTGTGGTCTGGGCCCAACCCCCCTTGGCTGGGGCTGCCTCCCCGCGCTGGCAGAGGCTCTGCGGGACAGGGCGGCGAGGGTGCCCCAGGCAGCCAGTTCTGCGGGAGCGTGTCGGGACAGTGAGCTGGATAGTTCAGAGGGGTGGAGCTGGGCCGCGCCCTGTGCCAGCCCCGGAGCCGGGAACTGTTTTCCCGTCCCAGACTCCTGGGGGCCGGCGCAGCCCCCCCAGCTAGCCCCTCTCCGAGCCACCGGGGCTCCCCAGGCGAGTGACTCCAGCGGATACGCCGCAGCTGCTGCCGGGGTCCCCGAGCCGCCCTGCAGTCCCCACGGGGGGTCCCAGCGCAGTGCTGGGAGCAGTGGGCCGGGCAGGTCCAGGAGGGGGGTTCTCCAAGCACAGTAGGGGCAGCGCGTGCAGGCAGATCACATCGGGCCCGTCTCAGCAGGATCGGACCCATCTCACTTGCCTGCCCTTGGAGCCCCCCGCAGCCGGGCCTGGCGCTTGGGGACTGCGTTAAATGCAAAATGCCCAGACGAGTTCCAGCCCATCAGCTTGTGCCAGCGTCACTGGGAGCTGGGCCAGGCAGGCGGACCCCCTCTGACCCCCGTATGCGTCGCCTGCCTGGAGCTGCCCATCCCCAGCACACAGCGCTGCCCTCGGCTGGGGGGTCTGCAGAGCACCAGGCTGGGAGCCGGGGCGGGGAGGGGGGGCTGCTGGAGGCTACGTCAGCTCCCGCTTCCCTCTGTAAGTGTAACAAGTATGTGCAGGAGCCGCCCCGCCCTGGGAGAGGCAGGGGGAGAACGCAGGGCTGGCAGTGCAGCACAGCACAGCCGCCACTCTGTGGGGAGAGGGCAGCCCCCGACAGCGCAGCGCCAGGGCGGGCGGATCAGCCAGCGGCTCCCGGCTCCCATCGCAGTGCCAGGGCAGGCGGATCAGCCAGCGGCTCCCGGCTCCCAGCGCAGCGTCAGGGCGGGCGGATCAGCCAGCGGGTCCCGGCTCCCAGCTCCAGGGCGGGTGGATCAGCCAGCGGGTCCCGGCTCCCAGCGCAGCGCCAGGGCGGGCGGATCAGCCAGCAGGTCCCAGCTCCCAGCGCAGTGCCAGGCCAGGGCGACTCAGCCAGCGGCTCTCCGACAGCGCAGCGCCAGGGCGGGCGGATCAGCCAGCGGGTCCCGGCTCCCAGCGCCAGGGCGGGTGGATCAGCCAGCGGGTCCCGGCTCCCAGCGCAGCGAGCAGAGGAAGGCTCGGGCCCCGGCATGGAGAGGAGCTCGCGCCAGCGGGCGAAGAAGAAGCTGCAGCGCCGGGCACTGGGCGGCTCAGCGGGGTCCCGGGCGGGGGCAGAGGAGCAGGTGGTGATGGTGTGCGAGGAGATCGCCGACCCCGCTGCGCTGGAGACCTCCAACGTCAGCAGCTCGCTGTACTCCCTCCACTCCACCCTGCGCCTCGAGGAACTGTAGGCACCGCGCCAGCCGGGGCATCGCTGCTGCGAAGATGGGGTGCTAGGGGAGCCAGGGCAAAGCCTTGACTGGCCGCGGCTGCCCCCTCCCCCCAGGCTGCACTGGCTGGGGGGCTGCAGCTGATCTGGTGGGGGGACGGGCAAAGCTTGTTCTGCTTCAGCTCACCCCCCGGGTGCATAATTCAGTTAAAGACCCGCATTTACAGAAACCTGGGCCGGGCCCCGCCTGAGCAGGGCCCCAGGCCGTCTGGCGCAGCGGCGGTGGGGTGGGGGTAGTTGGATCTGCAGAGCTGGAGCAGATCTGCCGGCTCGGGGCAGCGTTACTTGGCTCCCGCTCCCTGCCGGGCTGTGGCTCCTGATGGGGCCGCCAAGCCCCGGAGCCGGGGGAGCTGCCCCGTTGCTGTGAGGGGCTCAGTGTCTGTGGCAGGGCTGGGGGAGAATGACCCACGGGCACAGCTGTTGTACTGTTGTACAGGAGCCAGCCTGACGGCCGGGCAGGGAGAGGGGCAGCGCACTCTGCCCCGGAGCGTCGGGACTGCGGGGAGCTGCTGTGCTGAGCCCAGGGGGCTGGTCGGAGCTCTCCCGGCCCCACAGCCGACACCCTGCGGGGGGGAGAGGGGGAGGGGCTCAGGGGCTGCCAGCCCCTCACGTGGTGTGAGTGAGTGTCTCGTGTTTCCCTCAGGAGTGCAAGGGTTAAGTGCCGCGGCTCGCCCGCCTGCCCGCGAGGGGTGCTGCCCACAGGGTTCTCCTAGCCCCGGCAGCGGGGGACGCTGGTGATGCGCTCTCTGTGGGCACAGACCTGGCCCAGCCCGCAGCTCCCACCAGACGGTGCCCCCAGGCGTCCCAGCTGCCGCAGCCCTGGCATGGCATGCAGGGGGGAGGGGGGAGCTCAGTTGATGGGGCCCCAGAGTAGGCTCCAAGCTGGGCTTGGGGTTCGCAGTTGTGGGGATGCCCGGCCCCTGGCCCCTCACACGCTCCGTCTCTGACGCAGGCCCATGCTCATCGACATGAACAAGGTGTATCGCCAGACCAACCTGGAGAACCTGGACCAGGCCTTCACCGTGGCCGAGCGGGACTTGGGGGTGACGCGCCTGCTGGACCCTGAAGGTACGAGGTGCCTCGTACACGGCCCCTCCCTGGCATGGGGCAGCCACCCGATGGCTCTGCTCCCTGCAGGGAGCCCTTGGGTGCAGCAGCCCCTCGACCTGGGGGTGCATCCCATGAGCACGGGGGGCAGCCCCCTGCAGGTGGAGACCCCTGGGCTGGGGCTCCCCCCACAGCCGCTCACGCTCTGCCCCTCCCCCCAGATGTGGACGTGCCCCAGCCGGACGAGAAGTCCATCATCACCTACGTCTCATCGCTGTACGACGTCATGCCCCGCGTGCCTGACGTGTCAGTCGGCCTCAAGGCCAATGTGAGTATGGGGCTGTGGAGGCCAGGGGGCTTCGGGGCTGCGGTGTCTCTGGGGCTGGCCTGTGCGCAGCCTGTCGGGGTCCGGGAACCCCGCTGTGCACAGGGACAGGCTGTGAGACGCCGGCGATCCCTCTCTCCACGCTCCCTGCAGCGGGGCCCGGGCGATCTGCAGAGACCCCAGGGAACATGATGGTGCCTGAGGCTGTGGGCTGGTGCCAGAGAGGCGGGCTAAGCATAGAGCTCCCCCCAGTCCCTTGCCCAGCCCCTGACGCCGCCGCTTTTGGTCTCCAGCTCAGCCGCGCTTCCCTGCAGAAAGGTGGGGGGGCCCCTGTGTCACGGAGCCCCAGGATCAGCGCTAGGCCCCAGCTTGAGAGCAGTCTGGGAGGAGCCCTTCAGTGAGCCAGACCCCCAAGGGCCTCTCTCCCTGCTCAGCCTGACCCCTGGGGGTTCCAGCCCTCCTGCCCCACCCCCTCAGCTCTGCTCAGCGAGTCCAACCGAGCCAGACCCCGGGGGAGACCCGGCCACGCAGCAGGGGCTAGTGCCCCTCGCCCAGCGTTCCCAGGGACACACCGCGCTGTCACAGCGGGTTGTTAGCTAGCTGCTCACGGCACGGGAAGTGCTCAGGGGAGCCCAGGGAAACGTGGGTTAAAGCCCAGACCGGTGGGGTCAGCCCAGAGCCCACAGCCCAGCTGGGAGCCCCGTTGTTCCAGCTCTGTCTGTCTGTCTGTCCGTCCGACCTCCTTGGGCAGTTCCCAGGGGAGAGGCCAGGCTCCTTCCAGCAGCCAGCACCTCCCCCCCCCACCTCACTCCTCACAGTCCTTTGTTCTCGAGCTGGGGGGTCTTTGCTCAGCCTCCCTGCAGAGGTGGGGAAACCCCTCCCCCTCCCCCCCACCTTGGGTGCCAGGGGTCAGCGTCCCGGTGATTGGCTTTGCCATTGTCTTCTCGGGTCCTCCATTGATACGGGGTCAGCTGGGCCAGTCCTTTCCGGTGGCCCATCCCGGCTCAGACAGCCCAGCAACATTCATAGCCAGGTCTCTTAGCCTGCCCTAAGAGCAAACAGTCCTTCCCCCTTCCCCACAGGGTAACAGTGCAGCATGTAGGGGAAACTGAGGCACACACGGGGTCATTCCGGCGGTGGGGTGATGGGCCAGTCACTGCGGTTCCCATCCAAGGGTGATTCCAGCTGAGATGGTCCCAGGGAGGCCCCGAATCCCACCCATCCGTTTCTGTGCTGTCTCTGGGACCTCCCGGGGGCCGCCCAGCCCGGTGGCTGCGGGGACCCAGGGCCATGCTTTCGCCTGTCCCCTAGGAGCTGCAGCTGCGGTGGCAGGAGTATCGCGAGGTGGTGACGGCACTGCTGCAGTGGATTCGCAATCACACCGTCATCTTCGAGGAGCGCAAGGTGCCGGGCAGCTACGAGGAGATCGAGGTGAGGGGCCCGGCCACGCAGGGGTGATTCCCGGGGACGGGGCTCTGGGGACCTCTCGTCAGCCCCCAGCTCCCCAGCCCCTGAGCCGTCTGAGCTCCATCGCTACAGGTGCCCTTTGGGGCCCCCCTGGTTCCCGCTGGGGCAGGAGCAGCTCACGTGGCCTCTTCTGCTGCTGCCCGTCTCCCAGGCCCGGGCATGGAGAGGGAGCAGCACAGGCAGTACCTGGCCATGCTGGAGTGCCCGTCCCGGTGGTGGTGGGGGGGGGCATGCGATCTGGGGGAGGGGGCGGGCTGCACACTGAGTGGGCTGGGGGGCGCTCAGAGCCTGAGCTGGCGGGGGGGCCGTGGTCTCCGAGCCACGTGTTCTGTATCATGGCTCCCGTCTCGTCATGTCCTGACGCAGCTGCTGCTGGCAGGGGATGAAAGGCCCCAGTGCTGGGTGGGGGAGCTCTGCAGGTGCCTCCCAGGAGGGATCTGGCTGGGCAGGGTGCCCGGGTGCCCAGGCCCCGCCCCCAGAAGGAGGGGCCCCCAGCGCTCCCTGGGGAGTGGGTGGTTCCCGTTGGCAGTGAGGGGGAGGCAGGGTCTGTGGTTCCCTGGGGCCGTAGGGGACCTTGCATCAGGCCCCTGGGATGCCCAGTCCGTCTCTGCACTGGCAGCTGTTCCCTGAGGAGCTGGCGTTTGGCTCCTGGCAGCTGCCCTCACCCGGGGGGTCTGAGCCCAGCATAGGGAGCAGCCAGCCCCGTGAGGGCCAGGCTGCCTTGGAGGGGCCTGGCAGGGCTCAGCTCCTGCCCCAGGGCGGGAGGGAGAAGGCAGGCGAGCCGGAGGAGTGGGGCAGCACACGGGGGGGGGGGGGGGGGGGGGGGGGGGCCGGGCGCCCCCCAGGCAGGGGGAGGGCGTCTGACTCATTCCTTCCATATCAGCCCCTCGTGAGTCAACAGCGGCGAAGAAGAACCCTCCCGCCCGGCCCTCTTCCATCCTGTGGGCTCTGGCCGCCCTGGGGCGGGGCCATGCGTGGGGCCAGCTCCCCAGGCCTGGCTCAGCTCCAGGTCCCAACCCCTGGCTGGGGGGATGTCGTCTCCTCGGGGTGGGGGCGGGGGCTGGTGAGAATACGCCCTGCGTGGTGGGCTAGGGAGAGCCTGGCCAGGCATGGGCCCTACTGATGGTGACCCTGCGCCTGGCACAGAGTCCCCGGGCAGCTGGTCACAGGCGGGTCCCGGTGCCATGGCCACACGGGGCCCCTCTCCTGCCCCTGGGGCCTGCCCTGCCTCCCCCGTGCCCTAACCCCAGCCTCCCCCCAGCTCCTGTGGCGCCAGTTCCTGAAGTTCAAGGAAACCGAGCTCCCGGCCAAGGAGGCCGACAAGAACCGCTCCAGGGTCATTTACCAGTCGCTGGAGGTGAGCAAGGTGACGCCCCCGGGACCCCCTGGGCGAGAGCCCCCCGATACGTACAGCCGCCAGGGCTGCGCCCCTCCCCTCCCCGGGGGCTGTGCCGAGCCCTTCATCCCCGAGCACCAGGGGCTGCGCCCGGCTGTAAGCGGGCATGTGACCAGGGAGCTGTCCTGTGACTCCCTCACGCTGTGTGAGGCCCAGCAGGGTGCATGGCAGGGGCCTGTAGCTCGGCATCCCCAGCTCCCCACCAGGCCCGACCCCAGCCCCTGCAGACCCTCGGGGTGCCCAGAGCAAAGCCCTCCCCAGCGGGGCCACCCACTGCTTGTGCCCCCCACTCCTGCGCTGCCCCATGGACCCCTCAGGGCCGGGTGCAGGCTGGTCCCCACATGGCCCCGTGGCTGCAAAGGCCCCATTTCTGTGTGGATCGGGAGCTGGCCCCCCGACCTGCCTCAGGGGGGCCTTCCTGGTCCGCGTAACACCCCCTCTTGCCGGCGCAGGGCACGGTGCAGGCCGGGCAGCTGCAAGTGTCCCCCGGCTACCACCCCCTGGACGTGGAGAAGGAGTGGGGCAAACTGCACGTCGCCATTCTGGAGCGCGAGAAGCTGCTTCGCGCTGAGTTCGAGAGGTCAGTGCTCAGGGGGAGGGAACGTGGGGTGGGGCAGGGCTGGGCTGGGAGTGGGGGAAGGGGAAGGGCTGGCTGGCAGCGGCGGGGCCATGGGCAGGGGAGAAGGGCTGACTGAGAGGGGCCGTAGGAGCTGGTAGGGAACGTGGGGTGCGGAAGGGCTGGGCTGGGGGAGGAGCCGAGGGGGCTGGGAGGGAAAATGGGGCTGGGAGTGGGGGTAGGGAGCTGGTGGGCTGGGAAAGGGCTGGCTGAGGGGGAGCTGGGAGGGAACATGGGGCAGGGCTGGGGGGCCTGGGAGGGAGATCTGGGGGGTGGGGAAGGGCCAGCTGGCAGTGGAGGGGCTGGGGGCAGGGGAGAAGGGCTGGCTAAGGGAGACCGGGGGGGCTGAGGTGGGAAGGGGGTGGGTGGTGGGGGGCTGGCCGGCTCAGGACACCCCTGGGGCTGGCGCTCTCCCCTCCTGGCGAGCCAGGCCAGGCTCCTGCTGGCGGACGCTGAGGGCCGGGGTGTTCCCGCCCTGGCCTCGCAGCCCTTAATGGGAACCATACGGCGGGTGAGTCACCGCCCACCGGGTGCCTCCCCTCAGGAAGCCCAGCCCAGCCCCACCCGCCCGCCGAGCAAACAGAGCCGAGCGCAGGCTGGCCCCTGGCAGTGCCGCTGGGCTCCCGGCTCGCCCGGAGCTCGCAGGCTCCAGCAGGGACGAAAAGGGGGGCTGGGCCTTTCCCACAGGCACGTGGCAGAGCAAGGGTGGCGTCCCGGGGGGCTGGGGTTGCCCTGGCCACCAGGACTGGGTTGCGCACAAGTGGGGCTGGGCT